ATAACAGAATAAGAGGCTTGACCTCCTGTGTCACCCAGACCCTCTCGACTCAAGTGGGTGATTTCTCATTTCAAGAAGTTGCAGCCTAGCACCTGCCTTCTCCGCACCCCAGTCCCAGCCATAAATATGGCGCCTTCTTCACATTGATGTCTGCCAGTGTTGTCTGGGTTATTGGCTGGTTTCACTTATGGGCTAGGACAGCAGAAATGGGCATTCTGGGAGGGCTAGGCAAGAAGAAGCTTTCATTGGTCCTACTGAACCCTCTTTTCCTTTCAGGTGACGCCTGGGAGGACTGTTACCAGGAACCTGTGAGTTTCCCAGCGTCAGAGGTGCCAACTTCACAGGCACAGCTTCAGAAAAGCACCCACGTGACCGAGTGTCTGCAGTGGCAGCTGGACCAGCATCTTGACTGTGGTGAGAGCAAACCCATTCTTGGTCTTTCTTCCATCAACTGGGCCTTTACCACCATCCCTGATTCTGGAAACCAAGGACCACTCTTTCTCGGTAAGAAAGAAAAGGGGATTAGAAAGCTCTGGTCCATGTGCTGGTCATCACAAAGCTGTGGGTGGAGGAGGCAGAGGGCCTCTCCCAAACGCGCTGTCGGCCCAGTTGAAACCCGTGACCCTCTACCAGAGTGAGGTGATCAAGAGCCTGGGACTTAGGACCAGCTCAGCCTCAGGCCCTGGTTCTGCAACCTCCTGCTTGTTTAACTGAGCCAACTTATTCATCTTCCTAGGTATTTGCCTCTCTCATCCCTCATCTGAACTCTTGAAAAATTCTATCTCCTTTGCAAGATTGTTGGGAATCTTCAACAATATAATGTCCAGGGCATCTGATTCGCTAAGATTTGTTTGATAACCACTATGAATATATCATATCTAAGCACTGTGTCTTTCTGGTGCTTTAACACTTACAAAATGATTGCACAATGGTTGTTTCCTCTATGGTAGCATAAGCTTTATGGTCTCCGCTTTCTCTAAACCCCATTTTTCCTTGCTTTCTCAGGAAGGTAGCTTGGCCAGTATTTTTCCTCTCCTTTCAACATCTGTCATCAAGGCAATTTACTCCTGTTGGGTGCTCCCAGTAACAGTGTCTTAGCAGCATGCAATAGGAGTGTAAACACTGGCCCTGCAACTCAGTCCCATGTCTACGTTTCATATCCAGTTTCTTTTCCTCATTTTCCCCTCATTTTAAAATAAAGGGCTACCCTCATTCTTGAAGTGCACCCATCAGTCTCTTTTATGACACTCCATTTAATTCATTCTCTCCACTCATCTCCTTTGCCGTCTCCTAGTCTTCCTCTCCTCTGGATCCACATCTGCTCAAGTTTCCTTAAAAGAGCTTTCAGACCCTCACATCCATTTCATCTGGGATGTATTCATCCTTACTCCATCACTCTTACATCCATCACTCTCCATGTCCTCCACTGGAGCCTGGGCTGCCTGGTGATCCTCCCTCAGGCTGTGGCTTCCATGCAGCAAGGCTGGGCTCTGGCAGTTCCTCCAGCTTCAAATGGCCATGGTTTCTGTGTAGCATCAAAGATTCTTTTTGATTTGAGGGTTACTACAATTCACTGGGCTATCGTGGTGGCTGAGATGGTAAAGAATCTGTCCGCAATGCAGGGGACCCAGGTTCAATCCCTGTGTCATGCAGATCCTCTGGACAAGAGAATGGCACCCACTCTAGTATTCTTGTGTGGAGAATTCCATGGCCAGGGGAGCCTGGTGGCCTCTAGTCCACGTGGTCCCAAAGAGACAGATACGAATGAGTGGCTAACGCTTTCACAATTCACCCACCACTCTAGTCTCAAGTATAAATTCCTCTAAACCATCAACAACCACATAATCTGATGGGACTAAGCAGTACTATAGAAATAATTCTAGAAAATAACTCAGCTCATGTTCCAGCATCTCTGTGGAAAATACGTTTTTAACTGCTTATACAGACTCAGAACAAAGGATGTTGGGAGAGATACCAGATCAAGCAGCAAATTTCCTCAATGGCTCTGGAAGCAGTCCAGTCTAATTCTCACAAGACTTAAGTGTCCTAGGATAACTTTGCTAAAGAAGTATGTTCTTACAATGAGAATATTAAAGTCCTTGTTGTATATGTGATTACTGAGTAGATATGTGTGAGGTCTGATTTTCTTATTATGACTGGCTGTCTCTGAATTTCTTACTAGAGAATGAAAATGATCGCAAGCAAGTGAGTGGACAAGAGCTCACATTTCCCAGGTAATTTGAAGATCTGTGGGCTGTGAATGTCAGTGGTGACAGCAGGAGACGTCAGATCCAGAGAAAAATAGAAAGTAGTCTATGTAATTCTTTCATCTATTCATTCAACAGCAATTATCTCTTTAACAACCTTGTCTATTTATGTTTCACAAGTTTGTGGATTTCAATTTTTAATCCTTCAAGTTTAGTAATGTACAGTGAGTTGACCCAGGTGCAATAACCAAACCTAGGAGTTCCTGTGTTCATGTGCTTTCTCCTGAGTGGTTCATGTAGGGTGAAATCCTATGGTCTTACACTGGTTTGGCATCAGCATGATGGCAAATATTGGATTTCAAGGGAAGAAAATAGAACGATATTCATATTACAACAAAATATTGAAAAAAGAGTTCTTGAAGGCAGAATACCTAGTCTATACGTCCTTTCTCTCCAACTCTGAAAAACTGATTTGGAAGGTATATTTGTGCAAATAAAATTTTTTAAATTGAATGGAATAGAGTCGAAACAGAAACAAATTTTTAACTTTTTAACAGCTGTGTTCACTTGGACACAGGATATCCAGATCAACACAATGTGTGCAGAAAAGTGTGAACTGCTGTCCCAGTCCTCTGTGCATGTTGGGCGTCATGACGATAGCATGCAGGGAACGTTCCGTTTCCTCCTTCAACCACAGGTTGTGTGGCCAGTGCCCAGAGAACCTGCTGTCTCTCTCCCACCCCAGGGCAGCCACACTCCGCTCCACATCAGGAGGAGTTCCTTCCCTCCTTAAGGGGGCTGCCCTTTTGCTTTCTGTGACCACTCTCAATGCCTGTCATCAGAAGCAGCCAGATAGCTTGGAGTCGAGTCCTCTTAATCTTCTGTCCTCCCTTCTCCATCTGACACAGTGTGAACGTGCAGGATGTGGAAAAGACGGTGGTGTTCCCACATTCCCAGGATGAATGTTTTTCAGTAGCTTCCACTCCCCAGGAAGGTTCTGCCTGCAACCAGCCTTACAATGATGGGGAAGTTGCATTTGATGAAGAGAATGTGAAGTCTGCCGTGGATGGAGCCTGTGGTTGCCCTCAGGCTGAAGAGGATGAAATTCCAACTGGTCTCACAGGTAGTCTTCATTACATCTGTTAGTCTACTCCTAGAGAATTAATCCCCTTTAATAGACCCTATGCTTACATCCTGAAGCCTGGTTTGAACCAGACTCTATAATTCCATTTAAAATAAGACATTCTATGAATGAACTTTTCTAAGTTCACTGTCATGGGTGTCCCTGTGGTTAACCACTCTACCCAAGGTGGTCCAGCCAGGCTCACGTGTGCCTCAGCACCTGTGGCACAGAAGGTAGCGCTCAGGCTTCCTGATTTTGAGTGAACCTCTTATCTCACATGAAATGCTTTACTTTTCATTTCTGGGTAATGTCCCTGAGTTTCTACACCTGTCCAGGGCTTTTGGCAGGCTTGTTTATACCTTTGGAGATGTCACTACTTTAGTTCACTTCTATCAACCCATAGGTTCTCTCTTTTCCTTTGACATATCTTGTTCAAAGTCTTCTGAAACCAGAAGGTAAGCCACACTGTCATCTTTTGGTATGTTTCTCTGAGCTAAGGCAGGGCCCTGGAACTTCCCGACCTGATGAATGGCCACTGTTTGCAGCTTTGAGATTCATTTGACTTGATGGTGTATGGATTCCACTTCCATTTATCTCAGTGTGTAATCACTTATCCCATTAGTAAACAACCTTTCAGATGGAAAATCCTGAATATTATCGCAGGCTGAGGATGTAGCAAAGTTGTTCCCCAGGAACTGTGGGGAAAAGGATTTATTTAGCTGTTTCCACAGACTCATGACCAGGATACTCTTCCAGTGACATAGGATATCAAGGAAATTTGCCCCATGGCTCAAGAAGGAAACCCAGTGCCTTCTTCTGAGGCTCTTTCTAGGGCCTCCTGGATGATTTCTGTCTCAATAGCCTGTTACCACATTGTGAAGATAGGCACACGATTGGGCGTTTTGAAAGGCATTTGCCTGATGACAATCTCCTGTGAATTTATTTGCAGAAAAGCAGAATGATCATGATGACCTGAAAGGACCGGAGGTGGTTGCCCCGAGGTAATTTTGAATATCTGTCGGCTCTTTGTACAGTCATGACATCTGCAGACCCCGATCCAGGGAAAAACAGAAGTTGCTGAAGATATTGTGTTGTCAGTTTTGCCCACCATTATTATCCTTTTTCATAATGATCTCTGCTTTCACTGTGGTACTTCTACTATTTCCCGTTTCTTCTTTACTTGTCAAGTTTAAAACCCAAATCAGTTCACCCAGGTGAACTAAGTCAGAGTGATGCTTTTGCACTCAATCTTTATATCAGGTGTGGTTTACAGAGTGAGATGCGTATCTGCTTTCTGTTTGGTGTCAGCATGCTGGCGTGTGTGTCATAGTAATGTCAATGCAACGTAAATGGAAGTGTGAAAGCCAGTGTTCTGTGTCCCTGTATGTGAGGCATGACTGCACCACCAGAGAGAATTCAGTCTGTTCATCCGCCTGTTCTTTGGCCAGAGCACTGAACCCCTACTGCTCTTTCTCTCTTCTGCCCCTGGGAAACCACGCTTTGTCTCAGATAAAAACCAGACTTTTCTCTCTCTGATGGATGAGACCCTTGGCGTGCTTCACCACTCAAACATTCCATCAGAACCAGATAGAACTGTACAGTTTCTGATCAGTCTTGGCTTAATCTTTTGCCCTCCCTCCCCCACCAGGTTCAGCAGACAGATGCCACAGATGGCAGAATATGGTGCCCTGCAGAACTCTCTGGATGACTATTATCTGACTTACTCGGGTCTTCCTAGCCTGGCACACACCTGCTGGTCTTATAGGAGCACAGCCATCTTCTCACCTGAGGACCTGGATGTCTCCTATGCTCGGGATGTAACCGGTGAGTATTTTCTTGTGACAGAATGCCACCTGGATGCCCAGGTAGACTCTGTGTGCTTCGTACTCCTCGCCTCTGGGCTGCTGAGATTTCTCATCCCTGTTGGAAGTTCTGTAGACAGTGACTTGAATCAGACTCTGTGGTAGAGTTTTAAGTACAGACATCAGGTGGGTCTGGGAGCAGTGCTGTCTTCTTCATTCAGGTGAAGCCTATGGGTCAGGCCCCAAGTTAGATTACAGACCCAAGGCTGGAGTGAACCCCTCACTTGTATGTGTGCAGGTGTCTGGAGACGACTGTATTTTTTCCTGATTCCTGTGCAATGTCTCTTCTTGCCACAAGGCACCCATTTTCATACCCAAAGTGTCCCTTGAATTTCTGCGCCTTTCCAAAGGTGCTCAGAGCCTTCATTATTTGTTGCTCCCTGGTGTCACTGCTGTCATCCCCAGTGTTTGCTTCTCTAAATTGCTTGTCTTAGCAAACCAATCATCTGGTCCCCAGGATGCAAAGAGCTCTCTCGTCACCTTGGGTGTGTATTTCATGAAGCAAGGCAGAGCCCTGGCATTTTCCCGCCCCATGAATGACTGAAGGGTCCGTGTAACAACTAGGATTCATGTAATTCGATGTTTTGTTCATTCCACTCATCATTGTGCTAAAGCAGTCAGCATATGACGAGAAAAGCCTGAGTATTAAGAGTATTCTGCAAGAATGCTGTGGGCTATTCCCCAGACTCTGTGGGGAAGATGAATCTTAAACTTTTACTGAAACATGGAAGAGAATACTGTGGTGAGGATCTACCAGGGAAGAGAGATCTTGCCTGATGGCTCAGGAAAGTAAACCAAGGAGAGTCTGAGAGATCCAACTTGAGGCATCTGGAATATCCTTCTTAAATAGCCTGTCATCTCGTTGCTGATATAAAGGTCCCCATGGCAGTATTGGACGCTGGGTTATTAATTTACACGATGAGACCTGCTAAGTGTTTCTCAACGTGTCTGAATTTATCCTTAGAAAATCTTGCTGATCTTGAGGACGAGGAAAATCAAGACATCATCTGCTCTAGGTAACTATGGAGAAACATGGGTCTGACATCAGTGGTGACATTTGGTCATCTCAGATGCAGGGGAATCAGAAAGTGCTGAACATGCCTATTTCTTCCATTCACACCACCACAAATTGTCCCTGTCACAAGGCTGTCTGTTTTCACCCTTTATGAATCCCTCTCAATGATAGTAACTTGCAGTCAGTTGAAGCAGGGCTACTGATCAGCCCAGGATTTCTTGTACTCCTCTGTCCTCTCCTTTTCATTCAAACCAGCATGCCATACTTATCTGCCTCTGTCTTTGGTCTTAAGACCTTGGCAGGTATTTCGTGGCAAGCAAAGTAACGAGGAAACAAAATTCATGTCCCATCACAGTCTCAGAAAAATTGGTCTTGCAGACACAAGATTTCTAGGAGTCCATTATGCTGCCAGAGCTGGTATTCATTTGCATGCAGCATGTATATTTCAACAAAATGTATGGTGCATTTGAAGCCGCCTTTATGTTCTGAGGGCGTGTGTGACATGACTATGTGTCCCGGGGTGGCTCCTCTCCTTCCTCCTGAACTCATTTCTTCTCTGTGCTCAGAGCATCTCATGCTCATTCTCCCTCACTCTCTCTTCCTTTCGCTTTGCAAGCGCCTTCAGGCCCCAGTTGGGGCTTGTGGGTGGGGGGATAGTTATGCCTCCCTTTCAGGGGACTCCCCATTTGTTTTTTCCAACGTGTCCCTTAACCCTCCCCTCAAAAGCAGCTATGGCTCCAGGTTGACTCATCCCTCTTGTTTCACCATCTGCTCTCCCACCCCCACAATCTCAGCATGGAGCAGCTGGTGGTAGAAGAGAACGAAGTCCACCTGGACACACTGGATGAATGTTATCTGGCTGCTTCTATTGACCATTATCTGGAAGGCTCCTGTCCTCCTTCTAGGAGGGTCTCCTTCCCAACAGAGAAGAGAGAAATTTTCTTGGCTCTAGATGTAAACGGTGAGTACTCCCAGACAGGTTCTTAGGCTCGGGTCGATTAGAACTATGTTCTCAGTTTGAACTTTTTTTTTTTTTTTTTTTTTTTACTTTTTCATTATTCCATCAGTTTGAACTTTTAAAAGGCATCACGAGCCTTTGCATTCTTCTTGCCCCGGGCTGCCCTCTGTCACCTGAACTCATCTCAGCAGCACAGGCTTGTGGTATCAAGTCAGACCAGAGAGGGCAAGTGGAGGGATAAGGGCAGAATCTCAGCTACCACTGTCTCACCTGCAGGGATTTGTGTAACAGAGCTCTTTTTATCAAGACAAGAATCCTTATAGTCATGAAATTTTGTTGCTAATTTTATTCCTTGAATAGTTTCTGGCAAGCTCTCTGGCTTTGGATTCCTGATTGCAATCTGCTCCATATTTGTAATGCATGTTATATTGTTGCCCAACTCCAGATTCTTACCCCTTTGCTGCCTACCTCCCTCTGAAGCATTTAGATACTAGATCCTGAGCATCAAATCTGTCTATGCCCTGTCATTTCCGTGAATCCAAATATCTGTCCCTGTTGTTCCAACCTCTAGAAACACCCTTGTGTTTCATCCTTTGTGCAGCAAAAAGGAGTTTTCCATGGGTGGGTTATGATTTCAATGTGTTAAGCAATCTCAGTGGTATAATCTCATGGAAACTCTCCATAACCTGTGTATCTGATGGGGGTATTGACCTAATTTATGGGCCAGGTGCACTTGGGTAGCAGTTCATAGGGTGTGGAAATGAAAACCTAGTATGAAATCCTTCTTGGGATATTGTTTTGACTTTTTCTTTAGGAGAAGCATTCTTATTGTGAGGACTTTGATTCGTAAGATCATCTTGATAAATCAGAAGAAACTCCATTATATATCAGATTTTATCTGACTCCTTTTAAAATGATATTGGGCATATAAAAGTTGTCCGTCAATCAGTTGGTGCCTTTTCACCTTGGAAGCAGTTTCTTTCTTATTTCTCATTCTTCCCTGAGGAGCAGAGAAGCAAAGGCTTTCTCAGGATCACAGTAGTTCACAAACCAGAAAGGGAACACGCAGTTACTGTGCACCTGCTGTCCACATGCTCCTTCCTAAGCAAGCTCCTAGTGCACTATAACCCCTTCAGCCCTCCCAGGCACCCTCTCAGGTAGCTGTGGTGTCTCACGGTGGAGCCGAGGGCACTGAGGATCAGCAGGTCCCTTCACTGGGCCCAGACTCCTGGCCACTGGCAGGTGGGACACTGAGCTCTCCTGGGCCCGACACCCTGGCTCGGGCTCAGTCCTCTCCTCTCAGCAGTCGGACCATCAGTGACTCAGAGGATGTTGCTCACGTTTTTCTCTTTGCCCTAACCAAATGATTGGCAACTATCTTAATCTTGAAGAGAAAGTTGCCAGAGGGCTGCAGAGAACCCCTGTGGTCCCTCACTCAGACGTGCCAGCTCCCAGTCCCTCTGTGCACTGTGTCCCAAGGGCAGAGCCGGCGGCTCCCCGGCCCCTCCAGGTGGAGCCAGAGCTCCACGGGGCTCTCTCTGGGGAACAGCCAGGGTGAGAGTCCACGCCGCTCCCCAGTCCTGCCCCCAGGTCACCTGCTGTCACGACGGGTCCAGGTAGGCCTTGAATTTGGCTGTGCTGAAGCCATGGAAAACTGTGGAGCTCTATCTCAGAAACACTGACCGCTGGGTGTGGGTTCCCGTGAAGAGGATGAGTGAGGCTCAGACACGTGACTCAGATCTGTGTCTGAGATGTTTGTGAGTGTGTGATATGACCCAGTCCTGGGAGTCCATTGTTCACAATGGGCCAGGAAAGGCCAAATCCCCACAGACGGATTGAGATGAATGATTAGAATATCTCACTATACCGTTTCCATCCTGCGTCTGGTTTCGCATGATAACCTGAGAACAGTGTGAATAGCCATTATGGAGCCATGCGGATACGAGTAGTCAGGTCTACCCTGTCCTCTCTGTACAAGGAGAAACCCTACAGAAACAACACATACACTTGATTTTTAAATTACATCTTGATCTTCCTTTGGAGGCTCTTCCCCACGCTAACAATACTGGGCAGTATTGTTGATGATTGATAAAATGTTTGGTTATTATATATTCTGTCAATGCAAAGAATATTCAAAGCATAGGTTTAATAAAACCCATTCTCAAGAAAGGCAAATAAAATTAGATGATGAAGTTACACAACGCTAATTAAAAACAATCCTAGACATCGACTTAGAATAACATTGGAGAATAAGGGGATAGATAGTTTTGACAGTTCTTTCAAACACCAAATTTGTTGATATACAAGGATTTACCCTTCAGCCCAATGTGAATTATCATAAAATCTGAGGAAGTGTCCTAAAACATGATGATTAATGTTTAATGAAGTTTGCCTGGTGGAAATATGAAGGGTACACCAGACTGAGAGAAGTGGTTTTGGAAAAAGCCCTGGAAGCTCACAGAGGCTCCTGGTACAGGGCTGGGGTCAGAAAGGGGCCAGCCTGAGTCCTAGGAGGATGTGCAGAGGAAGTTGTGGGAAGTGATATTTCAGAAGAAAGGGACAGAAGACAGGAGCACTGGAAAGGCGGGTGAGGAGGTTCGATCTGTGTAGCAGGGAAGGGAGGATGCATTTCCATAAACTGAGGCACATGTGATAAAACAGGCTTGGGGGGTGATAAGCCAGGTGACCTTTGAGAGTCTGGAGAGGACGGAATCAGAGAAAGCAGTTGGAAGGAGGTTGGATGAATCTTTGATGAGAGTCAAACTCAGATGCTCTCTGGAACACTAAGAGGTAACAGACACATGAGAGACAGTTAGAGAAACAAACCTTGTTGAGGGTGTGGATGCATAAGGAGGTGAGAGGAGAGCCCCACAGCAATGGAGAGCAGGCCCTGGCGGCCGTGACCTCACAGCAGCCTGACCTGGACCAGAGGAGGGTACTTCGTGCCTTTGGTTAGCCCAGGTTCTGAGAATGTGTACTCATTTCGCAGTAGAAATATATAAACACATTTCATTATGAGCACTGTCGAGTCACCAGTGGAGGGACGTGTATTGAAGCAGTGTACTTATATAATCTCTTTAAAGAGACACAAAGGTGTTTCCAACAGGGTCTCAGCCCTCTCCCCCGCTAGTTCTAGCTGCTAATACCACCCATCCCCATTCTGCCCCACGTGGGAATAGATTTTATTCTATATGTACATGTACGGGTGAGTGGAAGGGTAGACAAAAACTTCAAGCAAGGAAGTTCCAAAGGGTCTGGAATGTACTGTATTTTCCCAGCTCAAATTCTAGTAGGACCTGAAGCTTTCACGCCATATGTCTCTTCCTCTTCTTTTATTCCTGTGGGTAGATATCAACAACTCTTTCTCCCCCATGCGTAGAGAGAGGCTTGTGTGGAACCTTCTCTCTAGGCTCCAAGACTAAGGCTAATAACAGAATAAGAGGCTTGACCTCCTGTGTCACCCAGACCCTCTCGACTCAAGTGGGTGATTTCTCATTTCAAGAAGTTGCAGCCTAGCACCTGCCTTCTCCGCACCCCAGTCCCAGCCATAAATATGGCGCCTTCTTCACATTGATGTCTGCCAGTGTTGTCTGGGTTATTGGCTGGTTTCACTTATGGGCTAGGACAGCAGAAATGGGCATTCTGGGAGGGCTAGGCAAGAAGAAGCTTTCATTGGTCCTACTGAACCCTCTTTTCCTTTCAGGTGACGCCTGGGAGGACTGTTACCAGGAACCTGTGAGTTTCCCAGCGTCAGAGGTGCCAACTTCACAGGCACAGCTTCAGAAAAGCACCCACGTGACCGAGTGTCTGCAGTGGCAGCTGGACCAGCATCTTGACTGTGGTGAGAGCAAACCCATTCTTGGTCTTTCTTCCATCAACTGGGCCTTTACCACCATCCCTGATTCTGGAAACCAAGGACCACTCTTTCTCGGTAAGAAAGAAAAGGGGATTAGAAAGCTCTGGTCCATGTGCTGGTCATCACAAAGCTGTGGGTGGAGGAGGCAGAGGGCCTCTCCCAAACGCGCTGTCGGCCCAGTTGAAACCCGTGACCCTCTACCAGAGTGAGGTGATCAAGAGCCTGGGACTTAGGACCAGCTCAGCCTCAGGCCCTGGTTCTGCAACCTCCTGCTTGTTTAACTGAGCCAACTTATTCATCTTCCTAGGTATTTGCCTCTCTCATCCCTCATCTGAACTCTTGAAAAATTCTATCTCCTTTGCAAGATTGTTGGGAATCTTCAACAATATAATGTCCAGGGCATCTGATTCGCTAAGATTTGTTTGATAACCACTATGAATATATCATATCTAAGCACTGTGTCTTTCTGGTGCTTTAACACTTACAAAATGATTGCACAATGGTTGTTTCCTCTATGGTAGCATAAGCTTTATGGTCTCCGCTTTCTCTAAACCCCATTTTTCCTTGCTTTCTCAGGAAGGTAGCTTGGCCAGTATTTTTCCTCTCCTTTCAACATCTGTCATCAAGGCAATTTACTCCTGTTGGGTGCTCCCAGTAACAGTGTCTTAGCAGCATGCAATAGGAGTGTAAACACTGGCCCTGCAACTCAGTCCCATGTCTACGTTTCATATCCAGTTTCTTTTCCTCATTTTCCCCTCATTTTAAAATAAAGGGCTACCCTCATTCTTGAAGTGCACCCATCAGTCTCTTTTATGACACTCCATTTAATTCATTCTCTCCACTCATCTCCTTTGCCGTCTCCTAGTCTTCCTCTCCTCTGGATCCACATCTGCTCAAGTTTCCTTAAAAGAGCTTTCAGACCCTCACATCCATTTCATCTGGGATGTATTCATCCTTACTCCATCACTCTTACATCCATCACTCTCCATGTCCTCCACTGGAGCCTGGGCTGCCTGGTGATCCTCCCTCAGGCTGTGGCTTCCATGCAGCAAGGCTGGGCTCTGGCAGTTCCTCCAGCTTCAAATGGCCATGGTTTCTGTGTAGCATCAAAGATTCTTTTTGATTTGAGGGTTACTACAATTCACTG